TAATTAGCATATCAGGATTATCATTATTATGTATAATATAATTTAATAATTGAAGCTCTGTGTATCATGTTAAAAAGTAGTGAGGTCGTCAATTCCTAAAACTAATGTGTGTACGATTTGAGATTGATCCTCSTTACGTTACAATGATAAGTTGTTAAATTAACCTGACACTGATTATGTTTGGTGGAGAGGGGTTCTGACTTATTTATTTCCAAATKATTTTGTATGCATATATACCAAGGCCGCTCACCATGTACATTGATAACCTAATGATTGTAGACACGAAACTATATTATCACACATAACCTATAATATTTTAATATAATAAATAGTAATAGTAATAATGATGTTAATATTAGTGATTAATATTCATACCTATTAAGTATAGTTTATAAACGGCACGTTAACAATGTCACACTAACATAAAACAATTGATGTATTATTTAGGCCTTAAGACAATTATTATTGCATAATTGTATTAGTATAAATTTAAGCAGAAATAAATTAAAATTTAGGAATTTCATATGTTTTTGAATAATCAGATGATTTTTAAGTAGATATTTTTCAACATATTGWTACAAAAATTTTTTGTTTATTATTTATGCGGCATATGAATGCAAGCATAAATTTATTATTATAAGGATACAATATAGGTAATCGTTTTAGGGGTTAGACCTAATTACACTCATAAAATCTTTTGGAATGACTGATGCTTCTCAAACGTATTGCTCCTTCACACTCGTTTTTCGCAAATTCCATAACGTCATCACGTGTTGTTAAAGGCAGTTATGACATTAATTTAATAATATTACATTKTAATAACGTTCACAGGACAGCGGTCATTGGAGTGACTCCTACAGCGTCAACTCGTCACCCGGCTACTCAACTAAGAGCATGGAAACACCGCTGCTGTCTTCGCACGCCAAAATGATACCGTCCCGGTCAAACAAGAAACGTTTCATACTCGACCGGTACGTAGTGTGCGATCAGTGGAACGGTCGAGCCAGGTTTTCACCAGCCAACAGCGGCCCGATCAGCTCCAGCAGTACAGCCGAGCTAACCAAGAGCCATTCGACGCCAGCCAGTCTGCAAGCAGTTGTCGAATTCAACGAAAACTCACCCAACTCACTGCAACATAGGGTAATAATTTGTAGAACATTATTTTCGTCCATGAGATCGCTCCGA